CAGGTGTCATAGTCGCACTTTCGGCAGCCATAGAAGCCCGTGCCTTTGGGATGCTCAGTGGCACATATACTGCACCACCAGCCATCTTCCGGAGTCAGGAAGTAGTGGAGGCCATGTGCTCCTGGGCAGTTGGAGAAAATCTCTTCGTTTGCCTCATCCAAGACTATCGGCCGAGGTCTTGGGAGCGGTTCTCGTCCCAGGGGGTCCTCCCTGGGTCCCTGTCGTAGTTCTCGCAAGTATGGTCGAAGGAATATCGTGACAGGAGGAGGCTGGGACTGGGACGTGTTCCATTTGACGAACCGTAAGAGTCTAACTTCTTCGTCCGTAAGGCGCTTGGCGGGGGTCGAGGTCGAAGAAGGAAGTGCAGAGTCCGGAGGCAGAGGCCTTCTCCTCATCGGAGTCTAGACACTGGTGTGTGCCTGGATCCTTGTCTGGCTCCGTCCCATCTGCATCTATAGGCTCGCTGATGGTTTCGGCACGATTGGTCTGTCCCGCACGCTGGGATTGGCGTCGAATCCGTTGCTCCTTCCCCATTGGGAAGGGCCCAGAGAGGGCAGAGCTGTGCTTCTGTAAGCCAAAGCATGCAGTCAAGGACAGGATGTGGTGGCAGGCGATAGGCTGATGCAATTGGAATGTGTACAGGGCACACGAGTAAGTATCGGTGCACACTGAGCACATCGCCGACAGAGGTGCGGGGAGGTCGTAGATGGACAGGACCCCCCAGGACCTGCAAGCAGCATTGCCGGGAAAAATGTAGTTAAATCGTTTACTAGTGGCATGATGCAGTGATGCGAGCTCATGTGCAGTGTAACGACTGCGGTTGGTACCGGCGCAAGCACAGGATCTTTGTTGCTCACAGTGGAGGATGTCTGGCAAACCTTGGGGAGGCTGATCTGAGGCGAAGTCAGGTCTCGGCAGCCTTGATGACCAGGAATATACGAATGTTGGACATCGACGCCTTTGGGGTTGGACCTCCTCCAGTGTCAAAACTATCCTGGGGTAGTCGCTGAGAGCTGTTGGAGTCCTGCAGCACTGGCAAATCTGAAGGTCGGTGAGGGCTGCGGCTGCGAGAAGGACGCTGTTGTTGACTGTCAGAGGTCGATGCACGAGAATCATTCTGGATGTCGAGGGCCTCGGATTTCCACGCTCGAAAGGCACGCTCCGCAACCTCAGCAGCGTAGACCAGAGTTCCTTCCGATTCGGAGCTTGAGTCTGGCTTGCCTGATGGGTCTGCCATGGGGTTTCTCGAGCGAACGGAGCCCACAAATGACTATGTGTCCAGACTGAGAGCTGAAATCTACCTATTGCAGACGTGAGCCGGGTCGCAGCAAGTCGGCAAAGAAGGTCAGGCTTGACGCAGATAGCACAACCACAAGCAGGAACAAATGCCGATTGTGTCAACGGGCCTGTGTCGCAGCAGTTGCGTGTTCGAGGCACGACTGACCTGAGCGAAGGGGGAGGGGAAGTGCATGGCAGTGGGATTATATGAGCTGGCAATCGCAGGTAAAGGATGATGCAGACTAATCGAAGATTTTTGCCTGGGCAGTGTCGTCTGAAAGGTGTGTCAATTGTCAGGCTATGGAGAGGCATCCACTGGGCCATCTGTTGTGAAGGCCTGAATTGATGTAAAACGTCCCTGCACCAGCTGAATGCGAATGTTGATGCATACGCTGGAGTTGGGAGTAGTGGGAACATCAATATGGAATGTTGACGAATGCTCACGCTGGCTTCCCGGCTCCACAGTCTGATGCACACGTAGTGCTTCAGGTGCCTTGGTGTTCGTAGGACGTGGGCTTCTGCTGCGACGTCGGAGGGGTGGAGGACTTGTAGCAATCGTGGCAGCAGGTGTGGTCGGTGCAGCTTGGCTAGCTTCATCGGTCGATGCCATGGCTCCCTGACTGGAGAGCTGTGTCTTCTCTGCCTGGATGATTGCAGCCCGCTCCATGAGAGTAGAAGCGCACGAGGCAGGCTGGTGAGATTTGGCTTGAGTAGACTCAGCTGTATGCAGCGGTGGCTGGTATGAGCCAGACGTACCTGCAAGCACCGGGCTTCAGGCGAGTGTAGAAGATGTCGTTGCCAGTTGACCTGAGTTGGGTGTGGCATCAAATGGGAGTGCATAAGACTATTGAGCGCATGCAGGGTGGTGCAGCCCGGGATTTTCAGTCGGCTGTATCTGCAAGGTAGGTGCATGTTGGCAAGTCTTTTCCTATGGGCTACAGCATACGCCATGGGCAGGCACACAGACTCAGCTAGTGCCTGTGCCGGTGTAAGCCGCGGCGGGCTCAGTAGTCGGTTTGACTGCTCGTGCTGTGACAGTGACAGAGTACTGGATGTCGATGGGAGGGATAGGATCGTGACACTCTGCTGTATCGGTGGGCGAGCTTTGGCCTGTTGGCTGAGGCCTGTTGCACTTGACGTAGGCACTGGTGTCGGCAGGAACATCGCTGCAGCGGCAGGGTTGGGTGTGATGCATGGTGTTGCAGTGCTCGAAAGTAAGCCCGTGGCTGCTGTGCCTGTATTGGACCCGATTGTCGTTGTACCCGCCTGCGCTGGTGTCGGCGGTGGAGGTCCTGATGGAGGCATATTGACCGGCTTGGGAGGAGGAGGGCCTGCTGGCATTCTGGATCCTGGCAATCGGGCCGTAGGTGGCGGTCGTGGGCTAGACGCCGTAGAAGCCGTGGCTGCCGCTGCATCCGCTGCCTCTGAGGTCTCGCTGGATGAGCATGGTGGACTATGACTATGATGTCTGCGTCCCTTGGCCCTTGTCTCTGTGTGGGTGGCGTCCTTGGTCTTGCGTTTCGGCATTCTGCACAAGGACTTGGCAGAGGCAGAGGCGGGAAGAGAGCAGCAGGGCTGTTCCCTGAGCGAGGAGGGATCGCTAGACAATTGGATTGAGCCAAGTGCTGCCATGTGGAGTAATATGGTACAGTGCGGCATACGACCGAACCTGGGTGGACAGCAGATGGTGGATGCTGAATGCATTGAGGCAGTGACGATATTGTCTGGCGCCAAAGGGGCGAGGCCTGACAGGTGTACCATTTTGGGGCGGTAACGTAACTGAGCTGCTGTTCCGGAATCCGAGCTGCAGGCGAGGACACCTCGAGCCTGTCACAAGGCAGGAGGAAGTCTGTAGGCCAACAGGAGGCAATTGAGGGCCGCGCAGCAGGCGAGGACTCCTCTAGCCTGGGCCAGCAGCTTGGAATTGAAAGTAAGGTAGGCTGTGGGATCGGCATGGGTGTCGGACCGTGCAGACGGGGAGTCGGAGTGACTCTCCCGGATCTATCTGGCATCCTTGAGAATATATAAACCTGAAAGGTGCCTGTGGTGGCGGGTGCGTCACTGAAAGCCGATGCAAACAGCAGTGCAGTCACTTGTTTGCCCTGACAGGACCGAGGCTTTCCAGCCCCGGCTGTTGCGAGGGTCCAGGCCATAGTGTCAATCCATGGTCTCCAGGTCAATATGTCGTGCAATCGTCGTGAACAATCGTAGGGTCGGAGGGCTCGTAGGCTTGTTAGATGCAGCTGAGTACATGGCTTGCAGGGATAGTCATACGGATTGCTGGGTACCATTGGCAGCGGCGGCAGAAAGGTGCTGTTCATGCGCTCCAGAGCAAACATGTAAGTCGCCAGTGGTTGAAGCTTTAGCCTGAGCCAAGGCAATGAAGTAGAAGGCAGAGCAGCAGTGCTCCTGTTGGGACGCGCGCCTGAGACCCATATCTGTTCCATGTCCCTGTTTGGAGGACCTGCAAGATGGGGTGTACATCTGAGGGGATCGACGCATGAAGAAGTTGCGACGTCAGAATGTCCAACCTGCCCTGCACAAAGGGAGGCATCTGTGCTCCTGAGCCTGTGCAGTCTGCAGATTGGCACTAAGGTAGCATGTCCAAACCCATTCAAAGCAGCAATCCAAATCAAAAGTCCAGCCAGACATAACCAGCCTGCGTGCATCTTGTTCTTCAAGCAAGTGTTGCAGCCAGCGCGGGTGACGCAGATCTTGCTGCGTGAGCAATCCATGGCTGTCAAGTCACTCATGCCTTTGACCCCGCAACCCCAAAGCCACAACAAGCACCGACAAAAAGCCCCTACGGGGTCCCCGCAGACACACTTCAGTGTGTATCGCTGTGAGCCTTGATTAGTAGATATATAGACACATCCAGACAGACAGACACACCGACCGACCGACCGACAGATAAACAGACAGACAGGCACACGATCAGAAGAAACGTCATCATGTGACGCTTCTCCGACGGCAAACACTGAAACTGTTGCTGTGCATGGGAGATTCGATAGTCTCAGCAGTTTCAATTTATTGAAGCATATTGAAGCTATCCAATCAAGGTGTTGAACAGGGTTCGGGGAGGCGTGGCAGGGCTTCAAAAGCCTCCTTGACTGCTTTAAAAGGTCGGGGGCGAGGGCAGGGCTTTAGAATGATCGAATATAACATCAGGTAACATAAGGTAATATAAAACAACACAGTACAATATAACACAACACTAAACCCTCGTCACCAGGCTTCCCTCAAAGTTTTAGGACACTTCAATCCGTTGCATTGTCCTTGTGGTCTCAGACTTCCCTTCCGGTTCCTGTTTTGCGTTAACAGTTGCCCTAATTTCCCCTTAAGGCTTCAAGATTTCACTTACCTTTTCCTTGGAACCGTCGCTGATGTTCGCCTCAAGGGCTGGCAGCGCTCCCTTTGTTATCATTTTACGTGTTCCTTGGGCTGTGTGTGGGTTTGGGACGGCGGCACATGGTTATTCCATAGCATGAAAGAAGGCTCCTTTCACACATCGTGAAGACAAGAAGGGGCGCTTCGACAGAATTTGGTGCGGTCGAACCGCTGCGCTATCATTGCATGTATGACAGGGGCAGGTTCGATTGCACCACCTTTTCTGACCTTTTTCGTTTCCAAAAACCTGGATAGCTGTAGAGCCGCTGTCTGTTTCAACTTGGAGAGGTGGCTTCTGGAAAGTACCCATCTTTCTGAAGTGTTCTAGGCCAGGCCTAGGGTGGAGAAGTAGCACGCCACAGCCTTGGCCAAATGCATTGCCAGACTTTCAGGGCACTCTCGAAATTCACAAAGCCGTGCTATCGGGATCAGGAATCAGTGCAGTGCCAAGGCCCTGGCCACTGCAGTCACTCTTGGGTCGATCGCACCAAGGTAGGCACTTAGAGCACCACCACCTCTTTCCAAACACTGATAAAAGTCATGCGAGTGAGACGTCACAGCTTTTGATGGCACTTGGAGATGGGCCGCTGCACCCAACGACACCGATCCTCGAGGCGTCGACGAAGGGAAGCTCCTGAAGCGGATCAGGCGATTGGGGGATGGGGAGGTGGTTCTCCACCGGTCACGGTCCGAAGGTGTTGCACCAACCTTGAGTGAGTGCACAAGTGCAGTCTTCTTCTTAATTAACATCACATCCGCTCCGTCAGAACATCGAGGGCTCGCTGCGCATCACCTCGGAGCAACGCTTCAAGCTTTGGATGTGGCCAGAAGCACTTTTCCCTTCCAGGGCTCCCAGCGTACGAACAGATCTTGTGCTCCCAAACCGAGGAGCCATAGCTGCTGGCCTCGTGGCAGCAATCCCAGCCATGTCGCGCAAAATCTCGTGAAGTTTGGGCGAGTGCAGATCCACAAGACAATCCGCTGAGGCACCCAGCCGAAGTGATTGTGAGCTGTCGAACAAGGTGGGCCGACCTTGCACTTTCACACAACCCGCACTTCAGAGCATGAGCGTGGGGAACAACTTTAAACTCAGGTTCTCATGTCATGTTGGATCGCCATTCGGCCCCTTAGGAAGCTCTGGAGATCTGTGGGGCTGTTGAAAAAAAATCCGAGACACATCAGAGACACTGAGTCGCCGTCGCTCGGGCAAGGCTCGGCACCATCTGAGCTCAAACAACAAGATCTATCGCGAGATACAAGAATGCCGACTGATCCTGACAAGGCGGACAAATTTTGGACTGCAGCAGGAAGTGCTTGCGCCATCCACCCAGTCTCGCGACATCGGGATCGCTGAACGGCTCAATGTGAGACGTGCAAAGCACCTGAGCCTTTGCCGGCGCCATGATCGCGGATGCACTCTGCAGGTAGGTGTAGGTCTAGGTCTAGGTGCAGGTGTAGGTGTACGCGCGCACGTGTGCTTGTGTGTGTGTGTGTGTGTCTGTGACTGCATGTATAGAAACATGTATGTTTTACATATATATATATATATACATATGTATATATACATATATCTATATATAATGTAATGTAGTATAATCGTATAATATGATTTGGTATAAGATTGGAACAGAATAGAAAACAATAACAAATTATTTTGATAAAACATAACACTCTATAATATAATGCATTACAATATAGCAACATAACGAAACGTATATAGTATAATCTAGTATAGTATAATGTAAAAAAATGGAGTAGAATGCGACATAATTCCAGTTGTATATTTATATACATTATACACATACATAAATGGCCATGAGCATGCATATCAAGCTACCTACCTATCTACCTACCTACGCGACCTATCGTTCTATGAACGTATCTATCTATCTACCTGTCTATCGATCTATCCGCCCATCGATCGATCTGCCCATCGAACTGTCTCTCTATCGATCGATCTCTCTACATCTCTACCTATCTATCGAGCGATATATCTGCTTATCAACTTATTTCTCTACCTAATTACCAATCTATCTATCAATCTGGACTGATCTATCTTTTTCCGAGCCATCTATTTATCTGTGTATCTTTCCTTCTTTTTGTTTATCTAACAATCCATCTACCGACGTATCCATTTATGATCGATCTCTCTTATCTCTCTCTCTCTCTCTGCCTCACGATCTCTCTACCTCTCTTTTTCTCTATCTGTCTATGTGCCTATCTCTGACATCCATATCCTACCCATATCCATCTCCATCTGTCTGGCTGTCTGTCTGCCTGCAGGTCTGTGCGTCTCTGTCTGTCCGATTGTGTCTATCCGTCTATCTACCTGTACATACAGTCACATGAAGACATTCATTCACACGCTGTACATACCCGTACACATACACAAATCTCTATATATATATATATATATATAGACACACACACACACATACATGTGCTTGCGAGTATGCATGCAGATGACATGAGCAGGATGCATCTCTGCTCAGACCTGGCCAGCTCTCGGCTTTTGCTGAAGCGCTCTCCTTGAGCCCACTTATCGAGACCTTGCGTTATGCATATGCGATAACAAGATGACAGCAATATTCGAGATAGTGCTCCTAGGTACGGCTGCTGCTAGGTGCCGCTGCTTCCCAGGTTTCAAAGGTGTCTCGAGAAGTGGCCTCTGCACGCTGTGGCGGACTGCGACAAAGCTCGTGGAGCTTCTTCTTCTCATGCTCTCGGTGGAGTGGCAAGCCTCTGCTCTTGCAGATTGCGTGGAACATGGAATGAGCCACCATATTCATGCGAGTGGCCCCAAGCACAACATCATATGAGCTTAGCATGGCGAGTCGGAGCACTTGCAGAAGAACTGTGCTCCTGCGGATTTCTAGCTTCAGAAGCACGACGAGCCGAGGAGCAAAGCACCGCGGAAGAGCGGGTTCCAGTGTCTCAGAGCCTGTATGGCTTCATCGTCATGCCTCGGAGCCAGGAGCCAAGAGTAAGCCGGGACAAGACAGGAGCAAGTTGAGAATGTCTTGAGTTCTTGCATCCTCTTGCAGTCGAGAAACTCACCGGAGTCACCTCCTGCTCGATCCCATGCTCCTCATAACGACCACCGCCACTGTGGCTACGCCTGAAACTCCTGGCGACCTTTGCCGTCCTTGAAGATCTGCTGCAGCTTCTTCTTCGCTTGAACCTCGTCCTCCGAGGCGGCGTCGCAGAAGAACATTCAAACAGCGTCGGCTATATAAAATGCATGCAGCTCTTCGCCATTAACATGTGCAAGCCCAATGTCCACTTCGGACAGCTTGGCGATGACCTGCAAGATTGAACGGCAAAGAAAGGTGCGAGCTCGCAACGTTCAAGTTTACGTGCGCCGATCCTCACTTGCATGTAAACATGACCCGCATCCTGAGGAAGACAGCTGCTTGCAATCCGCGCCACTGCATCCCCATCGGCAGCGGAAGCTGTCTTGGACATCACGTGGATAGTGTACTTGCACAAGATGTTACCTGCGGCACAGATTGGCTGCCACATCTGTGATTTTCTGGCATCCAGCGGAAGGAATGCTGCTGTGCTCTGCAGAAGATCGCTTCACATGATGGCATGGGAAGATAGCTCTGGGGCTGGCCTTTGGCTTTCTTCTGCCACTCAGCTTCAACGATCCGTTGGGGAATAGAGAGTGACACCTGCACGGCGGGAATGCCACGATCGTACGGTGATGCCACGATGCACTGCCCCACACGAGGCACGAAATAAACCATTTACTCCGAACAATCATGCAAGTGAACCGAACACGCACCAATATATATAGTGAGGCAGCAACTGCAGGCAGGAGACAGGCTGTTCTCGGACTGCGATCTTATCTCGTGTGATTTGGCCTCCACGTTCCTCGTGTCGATGCGCGCGCCTCCTGCCTTGTATGGAAGCAGCGGATATCTCACTCATGCGCAGGCAGGCACAGAAGCACAAGGAGCTCGGGCCAAGTCAGCCAAGAGTCGATCAAGAGCTCGAAGGCTTCCTGAACGCCTGGGTGGGACAGGAAGGCGTCCGCATTCGCAGCAAAGACGTAGAGCTCGCCTCGCCGGGGCAGAGATGCACAAAGCAATTCTGGAGAGCCCCAAGCTCAAGTGACAGCCGCCAGGCCTTCGATCCTCAGGACCTGATGGTGTCCAGCCCAGGACAACTCACGCCCGAATGCAAAGCGAAAAAAAGACAGAGAAGCAAATCGCTTCGAGCGCCCTTCCCGGATAATTGCTGCTTTGGAGCCTCCTTCCCTTGCAGGTCGTGATCCAACTTCACGGCATCCGGAAGGCTGCCTGGCCCCAAGAGCCCAAAGGGCAGGGGTAAAGCAGGGATCCAGGAAGCCTTCGGCATTTCGGCCCCAGGGCCCCGCGATCCCCCGCGCCTCCTGGGGACTGCTTCTCGACCTGGGCACCGAACCCAGCCGAGCAGAGGCATCGAGCAGGCCACTCCAGAAACAGATACGAAGTACTAGCACCAGCAGATCCATCTTACGTATCTTACTTTTGTTGATAATTTGTTGTCAAGCTTCCCCCCTTGACCGGATCCCCTGGCACTGTCGTTGTTCATCCAAGCTGCTTCCTTCAACTTTGCAATGATCTCATCCATCTGCCGGTCGCCTTGGAAGTTGCATGTGCTGGTGTTGCGCGCCCATGCCCAGCTCCTGGTACCCTCGAACGTGTCTGAGCTGGAGACCACCGGTCTGTCCTTAGGTCTCCGCCGACTGCAATCCCTTCCCTCCCCCAGTTAAATGCCGCTGTAGAAAAAGGCCCCAGAGGGGTTCGGAATATGGCAGACGAAAGCTTATTGTGATCAAGTTCGACCTCTTGGCCAAGTATATAACCTCAACAACGCAAGGAAAACGCCATGGGAAACTGTTCTTAACATATCTCACCACCTTGAGGAAACATGACGGAGGGCCCTGTCCACACAAACTTCAGGGCTTGAGTGTGTCTCGACTTCTCTCTCTCTCTCTCTCTCTCTCTCTCTCTCTATCTCTCTCTTCTCTCGGGATCGAATGTTGGTCTGGAGCATGTCGGTGCAAGCCCAGCATCCATACTGATTGACCGTGGCCTGCAGCTCCTCCTTCGTGCAAGGCTCTGGCTTCTTGTCCGACTTCTCCTCAACAACCAACGATGTTTTCAAGATCCGGAAACCCCAATGTGCTCCAATCCCGTCCGCAGCTTGCAGTCACAGGCGAAGACACGGCGTAAAAACAGGCAATAAAACGACGTAACACAGTCCAGGCCTGATTCTTTGATGCAGCGGCAGGCCCATTTTGTCGCGAATCCTTCGTTGCTCCCTGGCAGGAGCCAAATACATCAGGATGCAAAAATCGCATCAAAACCCGTATCCTGCACATGAGCGCGGCCAAATATTTCTTGTATCCCCTTGTGACCCCCTCTTCAGTATAAATTTCAAATCGTACTCCGTCGTATGCCCGTCTCGCCCAGGACTCGGCAGCCTCGGAGGTTTGGTTCGGCTCTGAGCCTTCGAGGGCATCTTGTGCACCTGAGCTCCGACTCGAGCAGGCTGCCACCGACACACGAGCACTTAGGACTCATCGCCGCGACGAAATCGGAATACCGATAGATAGTTACTGATAGTCAGTACAGTACTGTGCAAGCAGTGACATGCTAATGTTGCGCATGCGTACGACTGACTCCATTCGTATAGTCAAACTTGCGAACATCCGTGACATAGCCTAACTCGAAACGTGGCTAATACTGCAAATGCCATGCCATCGCTATGACCGTCCTCAACCTTTCCACTACTGTCCATGCTAACTGCAGTATACCGTAGCTCAGTTGGTTTTCAACGATGGATACTACCAATAAGATAAAGGATAAGATAATATTGTCCTTGATCAACCACTGCGTCGGTGGTGACAGATGTTGTACGACGATTCAGAAATACATGAAGTTTGTAAGAACCATAACAGCTACGCAACTACGGTTACTGTGCTCACCGAGACTGTCCTTTGTGATAGTCACCTTGCGAAAACTAGGGCATCTTTGCTGGATCTTGCGGTGACTGCAGTGTTGTTGGTATGGCCAGTGCTACAAGCACGCTTGGATATGGTATTGTCTGCGCAGAAGCAGCAGCACCAGGGGCATGATTCACATGGGAAGACACTGGATGTGTCAAGACGAGTGCGTCTTATGCAAAAAGTATTACATTTGTTGGCAGAATGTCCATGCTGTTTGCGGCGTGC